ATGGTGCTGGGCTTCCCCGGCCCATTATTGTGGGGAGAGATTCAACTGACTTTTGGAATAACCATTTCTGTGAAAGGCTGCGGCCTTAACGATGTCTCCACAGACAATATCACTACATGGTCCCACTACACAGAGAATTCCAACTTTGCCTTTCGGACTCCTACCATTTTTACTTATTTATAAACAGACTTCTACCTTCTCATGGTTTTCTCCACAGGTGACCCTGAACCAGCTGCTGTGAACAGCGTTTCCCTCCTACTTTCCCAGACATCCGGGTTCGCTCTTCTAGGAGCAAGCTTAGATCAGGGTCTCTTGGAGGAGAAGAGGGTAGCCCTTGGACCTCCTGTTGCTAAAGTGACCAGCTATCCCAGTCAGCTCACCCGAGGGAGGGGTGGAAAGCTTCTGTAGGGCAGAGGGGAAGCCAGTCACTTTGGGACAATAACTATCCAAAGGCCTGGGCCGACGGTGACAAGATCTGCACACGTGCTTCACCACCACACCTTTCCTCAGGGTTCTAGCGAGGGCCCCAGCCAAAGACGGCTTAACTGCTGCTTCAGCACCCGGCTGACACGTGCTGAAGCTGCCCTGTGACCGATGGTTTTGTACTCCTTTCCACTCATCCCAGAAAACTTAGAAAATGCAAGAGTGGGGCGATTCTACCATACCGGTACCTACAGATACACCTCACTGTGTTTTAAAATAATTTATTGGAAACCTCAGTACTTTATTATTAAAAATATTTTTTTCAGCAAGTTGGCAAGAGTCACACACAACAAATTAATTGCTTTTTCAGTACACTAATAAACAATTTGAAAAGGAAATTATAGAAACTATCCCATTGACATTAGCATCAAAGGAAAAAATATGTATTAATTTAACCAAGGTGGTAAAAGATTTATACAATAACTATAAAATATTGCTAAAATAAATTGCAGGAAGCATAAATAAAAGGAAATATGTCTCATGTTTATGAATTGAAAGACTGAATACGGTAGCAATGTCAATGTTACTCAAAGAGTTCTATACATTAACTATAATTGCTATCAAAATCACCATGATGTTCTTTGTAGAAAAATAAAAGCTCACCTTAAAATTAAGATCAAGGGATCACAAGTCAAAGGAATCTTGAAAAATAATAAAAGCTGGCCAAATAGCTCAGCAGATTAAAGTACCTGCAGGCACAATGGCCAGGGGTTCAATCCCCAGGCCTGCCATGCTGGCCCTGCCCCCCAGGGTGTGCTGAGATGGCAATTGAGACTGGGGGTGGTGGTGAATGCCTGTAATCCCTTTTACAATTCTTGGGAGGTTGTAAACAGGCAGATCACTACTAGTTCAATCTAGTAATGAGACCCTGAACATCCTATAGGCCCTTTCCTAAAATACAAGAAAAAAAAGAAGAAAAGAAAAAAAAGGAGAAGAGTAAAACTAGAGGACTCACACTTTCTTTTTTTTTATCACAACCTATCCTTTTTTAAAAAATTTTTATTTATTTATTTATTTATTTTTGGCAGAACCGGGGATTGAACTCAGGCCTTTGAGTTCACCAGAGAAGCGCTTATTTTACTGAGCCGTCTCCCCAGCCCCCAGGACTCACACTTTCTAATTCCAAAATTTATTAAAAAGTTATAATAATCAAAACAGTGTACTGTTGGCATAAACATAAATATAGAGATCAATGAAGTAGAATAGAGAACGGAGAAATAAACTATTTTTTTTCTTTTCTTTTTTTCTTTTTCTTTGAGACAGGCTCTCGCTGTGTAATTCAGGCTAGCCTAGAGTTCACTGTGTAGCTTAGGCTGGCCTTGAACTTGTGGCAATTGTCCTGCCTTAGCTTCCCAAGTTCTGGGCTGACAGGTGTAGAAATGTGCTTCCATAGCTACAGTCAAATACTTTCTGACTAGGGTGCCAAGCCCAGTCATTGCAAAAAGAAAAGCCTTTTCAGCAAAAAGCTCTAGGAAATGTGGATATCCTTGTGCAGCAGGATGAAGCTAGACTCTCACCTAACACCAGGTATAAGAATTAATTCAAAATAGATCAGAAACCTAAATGTAAGACCTAAAACAATAGAACTCTTAGAAGTAAACATAGGTCAACACTTGCACATTGGATTTGGCAAGGATTTTTGGATATGATGATCAAAGGCTAATAAATAGAGTAAATGATATCAAATTAAAACTAAAAACATCTATACATAAAAAGACACTATCAAGAGAATGAAAAGACCATCCTGGGTTGGCCAAATAGCTCAGCAGATTAAAGCGCCTGGAAGCAAGCAAGGGCCTGGGAACCTGCAATCCCAGCTCTTGGGAGGCTGTAAACAGGCAGAGCATTACGAGTCTGATCTAGTAGTGAGACCCTGTAGGCCCTTCCCTAAAATATGAGAGAGAGAGAGAGAGAGAGAGAGAGAGAGAGAGAGAGAGAGCATTCTTAGGAGAAAATATTTGCAATAATATATCTGATAAGAGACTTGTGTCCAAAATAAATAGAAAACTCCTCACAACAACCAAAGAACACAACTCAAAAATGGAGAAAGGATTAAGCAGCTATTTCTCCAAAGAAGATACCCAAATGGTCAATAATCATGTAAAGGGGTACTGAATAGCACTAACACTTATGGAAATCCAAAGCAAAGCTACAGCGAGAAATCGCCTCTTACCCACTTGCAGGGCTACTCTTCAAAAAACTAAAACGGAGAGAAGCAATTAGGGATGAGCATGTGGAGAAACGGAGATGCTGGGGAATTAGAACTAAGAAGACAGAGTGATGCAGCCACTTTGGAAAACAGCGTGGCGATTCCTCAAAAGAGAAAAAGCAGCCCACAAACAATCCAGCAACTCCACTTCCGGCCGTAAATCCTCCCTAAACTAAAAGCAGAGACTCTAGATATGTATGTATCATTTGCACCCGCATTCGTAGCAGGACTGTGGGCAGTTTTATTAAAGTGTGAAAGCCTCCACCAATAGATGAATGGACAGATAAAACGCAGTTTATGCATCCAAGGGGGACATTAGTCAGCCTTTAAAAGGCAGGAAACCTGACATATGCCACAAAGAGGACGGACCCTGAGGGCATTATGCTAAGTGAGGCGAACCTGTCACAAAAAAGAAATACCGTCTGATCCCACTTATGGGAGGCACTTAACCCAGTCCAAATCACAGAGATAATGGTCCGGTTGCTAGAGGCTAGGGACAGAGAGGAACGGGGAGTTATTATTTAATGGACACCAAGTTCCACTTTTAGAAAATGAAAAGAGCACTGAAGACGCACAGGGATGAAAACTGCACGCACTGCAATGTCTTTACTATCGCGGAGCGTTACGCTTAAAATTGTGGAGAGGGTGAACTTTACGTTCTATGCGTTTTATTGCAATAAAACACTGGAAGGTAAGGACATAAATTCCTGCTACTTTAGCACACACATGACACGATACCCCGGGTCTGCCAGAGAGCAGCTCAAGATTACTCCTTCTATGCTCCAGGGAGGCACAGGGGAGTAAGCGGGGTTCTGCCGCTCGGCTTTGGCAGCCCAGGACTGGCCGACCCCCAAGAAGCTGGCATTGAAGTGCTTTGTGGACACGAGCTCGTGGAGGAGGGTGGCAGTGCCCCCCCCCCCCCGGAAAGCCTTGGTCTGTTTTGCTATTCGAGTGTGGCTCATGACCCCCAGGGTTGGCAAGCCCGGCACACCCGGAGGCTAGTTAGACCTGCGGGCCTTGCACGACTCCTGCGGAATCAGAATTTGCATTTTAATAAAATCCCCAGTGCTGTGTGCGCACCCTGAAGTTTAAGAAGCATTGGCCGCATGAACCGACAAAGTATAAATCAGTCTCTGGTCCGGTATCTCTCCCCACAACTACAAAATCCCTGAGGCAATCAGACTTTCCTCTCAGCGCCAAATATGAAACTGCAAGGTAAAGCAAGTCAGCGGCAGACAGAAGTGCGCCAACTTTGCAAAAGATGCAGAGGTTCACAGGCTTGCCAGGCGTGATGCGGGGAGCTGCTGGACCCCCACGCGCTGCTCGGTGAGCAAGGAGCTGGCGGGCCCGGGCCGGCGGAGGAGAGCTAGTCCAGAGGCGGGATGGCACGCCTTCCAGACAGAACGATTTGAGTATCAAGGAACTAAAGGCAGGCCCTTGGGGAGAAAACGAGGAGGCCAGTGAATATCTTCATAAAAACGACCCACTTGATGATTATACTGTGAAAGGCAAATATAATTTCACCAAAAACCCATGGTTGAAGAGAAAGCCAGCATTTCAATCTTCAATCATTCTGACAAAAAGCACATTCTATACTTATAATTGAAGTCGTATAATATAATATATATTTTCACAAGTTTCAGTTGCATTTATTTATTTATTTATTTATTTATTTATTTATTTATTTTGCCAACTCAGCCCGTCCTAAGGGCGGGGCTGGTGCGGTATTTGTTGCTGGGGATCGAACCACGGTCCCCTGTGCCTGCCTAACCAGGCGCTTTAGACCACTAAGCTATATCACGAGCCCCTCATTGCAATTTTAGAGATGAAATCTAATCAAACTTTTTGTCACTGTTCATTGTTACATTTAACCCTAGTTTTAAGAGCATTCATGCCAAGTTGACTTTTCTAATGCTGGTTTTCCTCCCATAATACCTACTGAGATGAAATTATTATTGTGTATTCCTTTTTCTTCTTCCCTTACGGGACTTTTCTTTTTCTACATATTGACACATACAGGCATGCACATTTACGAGGTACGAAGTGATGTCATGATTTCTCAACACAAAGGGAAACAATCAAGCCAATCAACCCAGCCGTGCGTCACCACAACCATTTGGCATGGAGACTGTGATGAGAACATCCTTGTGACACATCTTGTTTGTGTCTATAATTGATACAACTCACTTCATAGCTGGGTGAAGAAGTTGTCTTAGTATGCGTTTCCTGGGGAGGTCTTTCGGCTCACTGTGCAGCCCTAGAAGGGGTCCATGGACAGGGAGCAGATGCCTATTCAGTGCCTTATTACCTTATCAAGCATGAGGAAGTTCTCTAGTGTCTCTCCATTGTCACAGGTGACATCACCAACCTCTCTCACAGCTCTGGGCAGAATCTCTTGCACCTCCTGGGCAATCATTCCTATGTACAAAACACTCCAATAGATTTAGTCAGAGGAAGGACCAGTGGGAGAAAATGAAGGCAAGCTGATGTCAGGGTGAGATGCTGTTAAGCATGGGACACCTTTGGAAATAGATGCTCAGCTCTGCTAAGCTTTAGCTTGATCTACCATACACTCAGTGCAGACGGGAAGCTCCGAGCTGAGAACCACTACAGGACTCAAGTGAGAGCATGAGGGTTGGTTTTTTTTTTTTTTTTTTTTTTTTTTCTTTTCTCTATTTTTATCTAAAGACTCTGTCAAATGTTGGACAGGGTGAGCAAATACCTTTAAAACCCTGTATATAGGAGGAAAGGTGGGGCACTCGCTTGATTTCCTTTCTTTTTCTATGGGAGGCCTTGCCCTTAAATGTTCCTTTAGTGTTCTTGGATTAGAGCATAAACATTATTTTATTTTATTTATATCCTAGACCCACCTAGCTACCCTCCCGCTCCTCCCTATCTTCACAAACTGCCCTCTCACACTTGGAGCTACTTGTCTCGTGAGCAAGAGCACCCCAGGGAAAAGAAACAATATATTCAGACTACTCCACTGGGACAGTCAGCTGCAGGAAGGGAGGTGTTAGGAAAGAGGACACCACCGATATCCTTTAGCCTTTCCTGGTCTAGTGGGTATGGGTTTCACAGAGGATGAGGAAGAGTACCAGGGTATTACCAAATGCCATGGCACAAAATAAAGAGGGAATTAAACTTCAAAATAAAGAGGGAATTAAACTTCAGTGGCTGACAATATAAAATTAAAAAGGGAATTCGTGCATGTACCTGTTTGATGGGCAGTGTCTATTCCCATTGCAGATGCAAATTCAGGCTTGTAGTCGTATTCGACAATCCTCATTTGGGCTATTCGCCTCAGCTGTTCATTTGTGTCAACCTGATTTAATTAAAGAAGAACAGATTTACCGTGTTTAGATATTTGCTATTCAAATCAATGCCCAGAGGGGCTATGAATAGTCACAATGAGTCTCTTCTTTTCTTTTGTCTAAACTACTGTAAGAGAAATTTCTAAGTTGTAAGATCCACATCAGGGAGCTGGATTCACTAATAAACTGACCCATGGTTTTTGTACCTAAATTGAAGGGTAAAATCATATATATAATATAAATGGTCAGGGTCTTATATATATTAGGACAGGGTCTATAGGGTCTCACTACACAGATCGGACTCGTAGTGATCCTCCTGTTTTCAGCCTCCCAAACTCTAGGATAACAGGCATGTGCACCACCACAACCAGTCTCCATCGCCATCTCAGCACGCCCCACTGGCTGGGCCAGCGGGGATCAAACCCTGGCCACTGCGCTCTGCCTAAGCAAGGCACTTTAGTCTGCTGAGCTATCAGGCCAGCACTTCTTGCTGTTTCAATAGCTACTACTATCAGAAGCTAAAATCAATTCATTTATTATTTGTTTCATTCAACTAATATTTATCAATATGCATATCATACACTATTAACTATCAGAACTAAAAAAAATATGCACTTTTAATGTTTCTGGTCTCAACAGGAAGACAGGCGGACACACCACATATGATTATACCATAATAAGAAACAGGGTGTTGCTGAAGTTGCTCTGAGAAGTGATCTAAAATATTTTTAGGGGAGCCAAAAGAGAGCTTCTCAGAGACAGTGAAGCCCAGCCTAGAACATGGCCTCCCTTCTTCCCCTCAAGCCTTTGCTCATGTTGCTTTGCTTGTCTTAAAAACTCTCCTTTTCCCCTCCCATTTAAACTTCCCCTCCTCAGAGGAGCTTTGACCCTCACGCCTAGGAATGTCCCTCCTCGTTCTGTGTTAATCCCCAGGCCACCAGTTGTGTCAGTTTCATTCTCTGTCTTCCCTTACGAGACATAGAATTAGGTTCTCAAGCACTGTTGTCATCCCTACGAGGATGCAGATTGAGACCAGTTTTCTGTCCACTGCCAGTTAGCAGCCTCTAGTGCAATACCTGGAATATTGTAGGTGCTCAACTAACAGTAGAGTAAATACATTGATAATTTTAAATTACAAAGAAAGGAAAGATATAGCCTAGGGCATGAGTAGAAAATGAGACTAGAATAAGACTTATAAACAGAGAGAACATTAGGACGCAAGTAGCAAAGCAGCAGATCTCCTAAATGAAAACTGTATGACCAAGACAAAGTCTGGGTGACAAGACTAAGAAGATGAAGGCCAGAACTGGGAGGAAGAAACAGTCACAATTTGACACCATGCTGTGCTCATCCTGTGAAGTCCATCTGTCACTCACTCAACAATTATTTATTGAGCTGCTGCTGTGTACCTGGTGTTACCCTAAGTACTGGATATTCTATGAATATATCTTATTTGGAGTTTAGATCTTAATAAAAATTTACATCTCATGAAGAGCAGATTTTATATCTTATTCATCAGGACCTGCACTGTGCCTAAAAAAAAAAAAAAAAAGACAAAATCTTCAATGGAGAAAAAGGAAGTGAAAGGGCAGAACAATTTGTGACACAACTGAAGAGGGGCAGTCAGTGGGGATCCCTCCTGGACTGCCCCGGCACTGCCCCGGCCCCTGACCTGCCTGCTGGCAGTGCCCTGCTGCCTTCTCATCCTGCCTTACTTTCTATATAGCCTGCAGGAGGCCCCTGCAGAGAATAAAGCGAGCCCACCCCTTTCTGCTAGGTAGAAAGCAGAGGAACCCTCATCCTCCTGCAGCGCACACCACTGAGAGGGCAAACGACCCCTGGTTTCCTATTGGATCCTCCCCTCCTTTTCCCCAAAAACCTTGTTAGACATAGAATTAGGCTCTCAAGCATGGTTGTCTCTGCTTTCTGGGTAGATATTTTACCAAATAAAATGTTAAGGATCAATGTAAAGCTCTAAACACCTTGTATAAGCTTCTTCAAAGAGAATGCTCTTCTGGTTTCTTATGCTGGTTTATGGATATTCCAAAGCCAGATCGAGGGCTGAGGAAACAGTTCAGCAGCACAGCACCTATGTGGTGAGTGTGAGGTCCTGAGTTCGATTCCTGGTACCAAAAAAAAAAAAGTCCATACCAAAGTCAGATTGATCCCAGAGCCAGAAAAATACAGGCCACATTCCATGTTCTCTGTGTGAGCAGTTGGCTGAAGGAAACTCTTAAGACAAGGCCGCACCTTCTTAGGATCCTTCCCAGGCTCCCACACAGGCCATCACAGAAGGTACCAACATATGTTGAATAAGAAGCTAGAATCTGGACTTGGGTGTCTGATTTGATCTTGTGGCAGATTTGGAAGGTTTTTCACCACGGATGCATTGGTCGGTGTTAGCAGGCTGTCTCACACTGAGGCTCCTGTACCATTAACTCAAGAACTGTACCATAGAGAAGACCTTTTAGTCCAAGCTCTGGCTTGTTGGGGGAAGGCAATCTCACTACGTGTGGGCTGGTTGTGCCCACAGCCTGGCCTCGGCTGATGCCTGCTCACACAAAGCCGCAGAACGTTGGCCTTTGTTTCTCAGCCCTGCAGGTGACTTTGTAGGTTTTGCTTTCTCCAATCTTTCCTACGTCCAGTTGTGTCTTCAACTGGCACAATGGCTGGTGTGGCTGGGAGAAAAACAAAACTGTTGGGTCTTTCATATGAACTGATCGATTTTTCTGAGTATTATTTTTAAATAGCTTGTTGCCTTTTTTCAGGTTGTGCCACTGAATTTGACACATTCAACACTTAACTTTCTCATGGTGTTTTGTTTTGGTTTTTTGGCTTGAAATGACATCAATATTTTCCACTTCCCCTTGGTTTGGAGCAGGTTCTTTCCTCCAAATTCAGCTGAATTTTCATGTCATACCATCAGAGCCGCATCACCTTCCCCGGTCCCTTGTCACATCAGAAGACACAAGGCCAAGTTAAGCTACTCTTCATCACTGGGGTCAACCTTATTCCCCAGCACCTGGTCACTCACGTCCCAGGCACACCTTCATCATCTTTTCTGTGTCTGGGATATTCATCTGAGTGCACACCAGACACTGTCTCCAGAACTCCATGCAGAGAGCCTTGTGCTGGTTCTACAAAGCAAGCTTTGTGGCCCTGAGTGAGGAGACACACAGGCAGGGAAAGGCAGCAGTCTGCATTCATTTTCCATGATGATGGTGTTGAGGAACACAGTGAGCTATTGCATTTCACAGTAGCTGGTCCAGAAGTCCACTGTGGTTGGCATACATCCTTAAAGAGGAATAGGGCCAGCCAAATAGCTGAGCAGATTAAAGTGCCTGCTTAGGCAGACACAGTGGCTGGGGGTTCGATCTCCTGGCCTGCTATGCCTGCCCCGCCCTCGGGGCATGCTGAGATGGTGATTGAGACTGGGCCTGGTGGCATGTGCCTGTAATCCCAGTATTTGGGAGGCTATAAATAGGAGGATCACTAAGAGTCTGATCTATGCAGTGAGACCCTGTACAGCCTGTCTTAAATTAAAAAAAAAAAAAAAAGAGTGAGGAATTACCTCTAGTCCCATGCATGCCATTGTGCCAAACAAGGGTCACTGCTGTGATGTAAATGCTTGTGTCCCCTTCAAAATTCGCACTGAAACTTGATCCCCATTGTGCCCCTTTTAAGATGTGGGAATTTTGCACAAAATGATGAAGTCGTGAGGTCTCTGGCCTTGTGAATGGAACAATATCTTATAAAAAGACTAGAGGCAACTCACGTGGGCCCTTCTTGCCTTTCCATCCCTTTCACCCTACGAAGACCCTGTGTTCTAGGAACACTGTGGCAGTGGAGACAAAGACCCTTACCAGACATGGAGCCTTCCAGAGCCCTGATCTCAGGCTTCCCAGCCTCCAGAATGGTGGGAAATAGATCTCTATTGTTTATAAATACCATATCCAGTTCATGGTACTTTGTTATAGCCAGTTTTCCAAAGAACTTAGAATACTTGCTCTTTTATTATTAAAAACTAGACAAAACTAAAGCTCGGATCATGGCACATGCCTGTAACCCCAGCTGCTCAGAGGCCAAGCTGGGAGGACGACATGAGCCAATGAGCTCAAGAGCAACCTGGCAACATTGTGAAACTGAGTCAGGGAGGTGCAAAGATGAAATTCTCACACACATCAGCACTATCATCAGCATTCCTTCATTTCTCTCATCTCTGGAATAGGTGGTAGATGGGACAGAGCAATTTTCCAGAAATATATATTCCATAAGTGCAGAGAGACCAAATGCATATAGAACAAACATACGGATATGAAATAATTAATATGGTACATATAAGTCTCATTTTGTGCAAGTGAAAAAAAAAAGTAACTATTGCTTTGCCTTGTACAATTAATAAGCGCCCTATATAGATGAACTTAGAAAAATCCCTTGACATGGGTAAAATAATTATGACCATCTGCTGCTCACAGACAAAAGAGGCACAGGTCACTTCCTGGCAAAGGAGTCTTGGGGTAGCAAAATTGAGATAAACCTCCAGCCGTCTAACCATAGCCTGGAATTCTCTTCTTCTGTCTGGTTTGTATGAGCACAAAGGACAGACAGGAATTTCACACACAGAATCTAGACTGAGGCTGCTGTTTATTTACATGGAGAAGGCTTTTTAAAGGGATATGAGAAATTCCAGAGAAACCTGTGATTTTAAATTAATCTATTTTTTTTTTCACTCAAAGAGCAGAATTTGGAGAATTTAGATAAAAAGAAATAAATGTGCAAGCCTGGTGGTAGAAGTGGAGTTACACGGAACAAGATTTGCCTGCTTGTATCCATTTACACTTCAATGGGACTCGGTAGGGATTGGTACAGGCGATTGCAAGGATACACTTGAGTAGGTGTGACCTGCAACACAGACAGTTTATCTCTAACATCCAAAGGCTCGATATCTAGGACTGAATCTGGAAATGTATGTGAGAACTTTCTAGTGCTCTGTTCCCATCTGGCAAGTAGGTCCCAGCTCTTCTAACAGGAACCACAGTTTCCCTAGCACAAAAGTCTACAATTACAACCATTCTTTGGAATCTTCTCAGCGAAGAGGGACATTCCTTGGCCGGTTTAGAATAACCAATGCAGATTGGCAGTGGGAACGGAATGCAGACTGGAGGAAGGGCCAACGATGAACAGATTAGGTTCACTCTTAGCTAAAAGAGAAAAGGAAAGCAGAGGAAAAGGGGTTGAAAAGCACAGTTCTGGCTCAGAAATGCTTGAGAAAGCGAGAAGGTGGTGGGAGCAGTGAGCAGGAAAGGATTTCAGGGAGGGAGAGTTGGAGGCCTAGCCCAGAAGTCCGAATCTTCATCCTGATCAATTTGGTCCATACGGTAGATGTCCTGTCCAAGATGAGTCTGCTCCTCATTTCAGTGAGTGGAAAATTTAAAATAGACCCTGCAGGGTCAGGAAACAGGAACATTCTCGTCTTATAGAAGAATACTAGAGTTCTTAGGAAGTTCAGCATTTGTTTTTTCTGATACTGAGGATGGAAGTCAGGGCCTTCACACTAAACTGTTTCTGCATAACCCCCCTTTTTAAAATCTTGAACCAAGATCTCATAAATTGTTGAGTTGTTAAGCTGCTCCGGGTGGGCTCGAAACTTGCAGTCCTCCTGCCTCAGGTGTGTACAGCTACGTCCAGTTTTCATGTTCAGCATCTTATCAGGGGTCACACAGCCGGTGAGAGCCCCAGGTGGGGAATGCTTTGCTTACATTTGGGTCTGGCTCTGACTTCACCCATGACTGCCCCCCACAAAGAGGGGGAAGTGTCTCTACCCAGAAGCCACGCACCACAGGACTGAAGCCTCTCAGGTGCTTCTCGGAGAAGGAGGATGCAGGAGGAAAATGATGACCTGTATGGCTGGTGCCAGGGGCCTGGGAGGGAGAAGCTGAGAGGCCCAGAAGAAACGTGGTCAGGAAGTGGACAGAAGCAGCACTAGGAAGATCTGCAGGAGGTAAAGAGGCAAAGGTAAGACTGGCTGTTTACGGGCATGGAGAGAAGAGCCAAGGTCTGTGGAAAATAACTCTGGGAGCGGCTGTGTGTGTGAAGCTGGGGACAGGCCGGCACTGCCCTCGGCTCCTATCAGGGAATCCATTCTCTCAGGTAGGAACTGTTGGACAATTTCAGCAGGTGACCAAAGCTCTTAAAAGTCATCTTTTTAGAGCAGTGAGACCACTTTAGATCAACAGGTGGCATACGGGTGCTCAAGGCCAGACGGGTCAGGGGCCAGGAGCCCCCAGCACACCTGGTGCCAGCGAGGACCCAGGGCCTGCCCCCGAACTCACCTCCTGGATATTCTGCTTTGCCCGGCTGTCAGAAGGGTGCATGATCGTCCCCATCACTTTCATGTTGCCACCGACAACCAGGGCTTCATCTGGTGTCTCTGTGTTTATTCCTATTCGACCATGACAGACGACAGATTCCGGGACTTGTCCTCGCTGCCATAACACATCACTGTCATTTTCAAACTGCCCGGGGTTAGAGGCCTGGAAAAGCACATCCACATAGTGCATTGAAGTTACAGTAGCAGGAATAGATGTTCGGCAGTCTTCAGAGCAGAGGCAAGCAGACCCTCACTTAAATTTTTCACGTGAGATTCCCACACTGGGTAGAATCCAACATGATCTGAATGACTCCAGGACCCCGGAGGCTGAGGTAGACGTGTCCTGGCCACCCTGCCCCCAGGGGCGGGGGATCTTCACGCTGCAGCTTGGAACACTCAATCTCTGTTGCCTCTTTCTGGAACTGAGAATGTGATTATCCCAAGCGAATGATAAGGAAACTAAAGAGGACTCTCTTTTTAGGGATAATAACAACAATAATAAACTAAAATAAGAACATCATCCAAGTCTATTAAAGTTCAGATAAATAAAAATACATTACATTTCCCTAGTCCTTTATAGTTTGAAAGTGCTCATCTTTGTGATCTCGTATACAACTGACAAGCGAATGGTAAGATGGGTATATTTACAACACTTCAACTATTCCCTACACACAGCTGATACTGAAGCAAGAAAAATAACAGTGACACTTTGTGTGCTAGTCCACACTGCAATTCTTTGGTACAATTATCCTTGTTTTACTGATCCTGACACTCTAAAAGGACAAACTGCCCAAGAAAATATAGCTAATAAGTTCTGGAGTCAGAACTACATACTTCTGATTATTGAATAAGGACCACCTTCACCTGTACTATGATGTTGCCTAAACACATCCCTAACTCAGTCGATGGGGCTAATCAAGTTCAGGACATTTTATTCTTTTTTCTGTTGGTTTTGAGACAGAGTTTCACTATGTAGTTCAGGCTTGCCTTCAACTTACTTTGCAGCCCAGGTTGGCCTCAAATTTGCAGTAATCCTCCTGCCTCAGCCTCCCAAGTGCTGGGATTACAGGTGTGCACCATCGTGCCCCAACTCCTAAATAAAATTCTTGGCCAAAATATTTCCACCGTGCTGCCAACCCTTTTCCCTGCTTCTCTGTCACTATTGAATGTATTTCCAAATACCTTTAAGGAAAGAATTTTCTAAACTCCTCAAAATCTTCACAGGTAAATGAGCTTGATTTTGAAATGATATTCTTTTAGTGTAAGCTTTGTGTGTTTGGGGCTCTGGGTTATAAATCGAAACAAGTGGAGATCCTGACCTTTAACAAGTCAGCGCTAACACAGTGATTGTAATTTTCATCTCTGCGCTGTACCGGCAGCACAGCCGCGCTAGCTCCTCTCTGAAGACCACTCAGGAAGCAAATAGCAAAGCCTTCCTCACGATAGACTGGAAGGCCAGAAAGAGATTCACTCAGCATATACTCTATTGCTATTGCTGGAATGTTTTGCCATAGGTGTTACCTATTAAAAAAAATAATTGTAAGAAAACACAAAGTATAGTTCTTAGTTTGGGTTCCGCTGAAGAACTTTCAGGTGCCTTTCATTTCCTAGTTTATCCTCATCTGTCAGAACAGTGAGCAGCTTAGAAGACTCAACCAAGGAGATCTGACAGATAAAAGCAGTGAAAGAATGTAAAGCAATGTTATTTTTGCGTAGATTTTCTTGAACAAAGAGCTTTTCTGCAAGGTCCCTGGAGTCCTCTCACACGTGAATGCCAAACTGGCGTTGTTTCAAACCTTTTTAGAGTGGGCAATCAGCTAAATCCACAGGTATGCTGAAGAACACATTGATGGATTTTCTCTATGCCGAACGTAATGAGCCACTCCACGGAAACAAAATAGGACAGTGATGGAATTTTGTTGTTGATGATGTTAATGAGCTTTTTGATAATTATTATCATGTTGGTAACTCAATCCTGGAAAAGCAGATAGAAGTAGATCTAATTGTGTGGAACAATTACACCATTTCACCTGGCTTTCATCAGATGAAATTGTAAACCTCTAAAGTACATTCAAATCATTTTGGAAAAGAGCTGCTGACCTGCAGTGTTCTGTTGAATGTATAGCCCTAGATAGTGCATCTCTTGTCAGGAAAGGAAAATATTACAATAAAATCTATAAATGTATTTCCCTCTCCATAATCCATATCTTTCTGTGACAAAGCAAACTGTAATGTACAATCTTTTATCAGAAATCTGAGCTCCTGTTCATATGTGGTTTAATAGTGGTTTATGGGTAACAAGCACCATTTCTCAAATACTTTGCATTCTTTGGCTCATAGCCTCAAATATTTAGGGAAGAACTGAATAGTCTGTGTTATGACACCAACTTGCTATGTCACTTTGGGACAGTGATTACTTTTTCTGTACCAATGTCTTCATCTGTAGAATAAAGATAATCACATATTCTTTACCCATTCTAGAGGGATATTGTGGGATTAACTGAAATTATGTGTGCACAAACAGTTTGCAAAAATGAGGATGAATAGTTATAAATTCATCCCTCAATGTGCTTTACTGGGCACAGCAATCAATGCTTGCCCAGTAATCGCTTAATCTGTTCTTAGAAATCACCTGCAGTGACCCACAATTCCGGTGGGACTCAGTTCAAGAAGAATCCAATGTACGGGGTGCCCCCTGCAGGTACTGGGATAAGAATCAGCATCACTAGCAATTTCAGGCCTATTCTGAGTAGAGAATGAAAAGCTGGAATTTGGTTTTGTGTTTTGTTCTGTTTTGTTTCTTTATTTGTTTGTTGCTGTTCTGTTGTTTGGAATTCGAAAGAAGCACCAATGAGGTAACAAGAGAGCTTGACCTAAGGAAGGCAGCAACCCAGAAATCAAGGCATGCAGCTTCTGGAAGGGCTGCCAAAAGCGGGGCTAGAAAACTCCCCACCAGCACCACCCAAGAGCTTGTCTACAGGTCAGCATGTGACCATTTTGCAGGAGCTTTTCAAAAGTACGTATTCTCAGGGATCATTGTTCTATTAAATCAAAAACACTGGGGTGGACCACAGTGCCTGTGTTTGTGGAATTCAAAGAACGGGTGAAATGTATACTCTGAAA